GCTACCATACTTTGAGAGGAATATAGACCATGCCTCTTAAATAACCACTGAAGAAAGTAGGAATTCTTCTGAAGCAGAAAAAAAAAATCACCAGAAATAAAAGAACTCCTTGGAAATATATAAGATACTGTCATAGAAGAGGGATTAGATTTACCCTATAAAATATTCTAAGGTTTGGAATCAGGACGAGTTGATACATACTACAGGGAAATCCATTTTTATTTTTATTATTTATTTATTTATTTATTTTGAGATGGAATCTCGCTCTGTTGCCCAGGCTGGAGTGCAGTGGCGTGATCTCGGCTCACTGCAACCTCTGCCTCCTGGGTTCAAGAGATTCTTCTGCCTCAGCCTCCTGAGTAGCTGGGACTACAGGCGCATGCCACCAGGCCCGGCTAATTTTTGTATTTTTGGTAGAGACGGAGTTTCGCCATGTTGGCCAGGATAGTCTCGACCTCCTGACCTCGTGATCCAGCTGCCTCGGCCTCCCAAAGTGCTAGGATTACAGGCGTGAGCCACTGTGCCTGGCTGGAAATCAATTTTTAAATCAGTGTATGAAAGTATGGATAGTACTGGCCAGGCGCGGTGGCTCACACCTGTAATCCCAGCACTTTGGGAAGCTGAGGCAGGTGGATCACGAGGTCAGGAGTTCAAGACCGGCCTGGCCGAGATGGTGAAACCCCGTCTCTACCAAAAATACAAAAATTAGCTGGGAGTGGTGGCAGGCACCTGTAATCCCAGCTACTCGGGAGGCTGAGGCAGAAGAATCGCTTGAATCCTGGAGGGGCAGAGGTTGCAGTGAGCTGAGATAGTAACACTGCACTTCAGCCTGGGTGACAGAGTGAGACTCTATCTCAAAAAAAAAAAAAAAAAAAGTATGGATAGTACTAATAAGCTTCCCCCTTTATGTATGGAAGTGTTTACTCATGAGATAAATGTCTATTAACATCTTTCGGGTAGAGGATTTTGAAGCATCAGATGCACACTTGTTCCTTTCAACCCATTCGTTAATTACATGACATCAAATTTTAAACAAAGAAATAGGTAACAAAATAGAGGTCGTGTAGAATAAACTCCTTGAAAAGAATGAAAAAGGATAGATAGGGTAAGTAAAGAAATTTTGTTTTTAAAGGAAATCTGGGTGTTTGAAAAGAAATGATCCAGTGGAGAGAGAAAAAGCAACAGGTAATTTGAGAACTAGGCTGTGTGGGAGATGGGAGGCACAATTTTGAAGAAACACATTACTTTTGTTGTTGTTGTTGTTGAGATGGAATTTCGCTCGTCTCCTAGGCTAGAGTGCAATGGTGCAATCACAGCTCACTACAACCTCTGCCTCTGAGGTTCAAGTGATTGTCCTTCCTCAGCCTCCCAAGTAGCTGGGATTACAGGCCTCTGCCAGCTAATTTTTGTATTTTTAGTAGAGACGGGGTTTCACCATGTTGGCCAGGCTGGTCTCGAATTCCTGCCCTCAGGTGATCCACCCGCCTCGGCCTCCCAAAGTGCTTAGATTACAGGCGTGAGCCACCGCGCCTGGCCGAAACATGTTTGTGAGAATGGCTAAATATGAACGTTTACTGATTTTCCTTCTCTCCCAGTTGGCCATATTTTTTTCTTCATAAATTAAGTATTTGAAGGGGCTGAGGGTAGGCAGATTAATGGTAGAGAGAAATAAAAAACAGCCCCCACGGCTTGACACAACTGCTGCAACATCCAAATCTTTCATAGTTATGCAAATTTCTTTAGTATGACTTTCAGCATAATTTAGTCTCGCTTCTTGTATTGATCCTCTTATATCAGCTCAGCTCTACTGCTGTCATAATTCAAGCATTTGCCCCTTCTGAAGTTCTTCCCTAAAGAACTGAGTTGTAGATTCTAATATAGTGATCTGATTTTCATGGTTTGTTTTTGTTTTTGTTTTTGTTTTTTTGAGACGGAGTCTCGCTCTGTCGCCCAGGCTGGAGTGCAGTGGCGTGATCTTGGCTCACTGCAAGCTCCGCCTCCCGGGTTCACGCCATTCTCCTGCCTCAGCCTCCCAAGTAACTGGGACTACAGGCGCCCGCCACCATGCCCGGCTAATTTTTTGTACTTTTTAGTAGAGACGGGGTTTCACCGTGTTTGTCAGCGTGGTCTCGATCTCCCGACCTTGTGATCCATCCGCCTCCGCCTCCCAAAGTGCTGGGATTGCAGGCGTGAGCCACCGCGCTTGGCCATGATTTTCATGTTTAAGTGAAGCTATCTTTCCAGAATTCAAAGCATGTTAAAATTGTTTTGGGAATTCAAATTGGATGCAAAACAAAAGTAAAATTTTGTAATCAAACATCATCTCAGCGTGTACATTCTGAAGGCATGTGGCTATCAGACTTCATGAAAACACATCTGTGAACCTAGAGAGAAATTATTTTATGTACAAATCTATAGTATTTCTTAAAATAAAGGGTCTTCAACTTTACCATGAGTAAAAATCGCTTGGAGAGTTTGTTAAAACAGATTCCTAGACCTCACCCCCAGAGATTGATTCAGTCGGTCTGAGATAGGAGTCATGAAGTTTCATTTCTAACGTGCTACGGGTGATGCTAAATGTAGCCAGTCTGTGGACTGTACTTCTGGGTAGCACTGTCTTAAAATCCACTGCAAGAAATGACACCTCTAGCATTATCTAATACTAGCTAGTTAAAAAATAAATTACTAGGTCCCTTCCTGGAGCGACTGAATTTTAATCTGTCATTTTCTTACTACTTCTATGATTGTTGGCACATTCAAGTCCTATCTGCATTATAATTTACTTAATAGTACTTAAATTGTCTTTATTTAAATATTATGAAATAAAACTTTAGTAAAAACAGAAAACTATTACTTGTCATATGTAGAAGTATAAATTTCAAATAGAATGTAATAAAAAACCCATAAAATTCTTGCTAATATTGTTTCTGAAGTTCTGAGCCTAAAGCCTATTCTCATTTTGTTAACAAGAGGGATAAAAAGATGTTAGCACAAAAATTGAGATATTCTCCTTTATTTAATTATAAGGCTCAAAAAAGAATGGAAAAGATGTCCTTTACTAAGTGACTCAGATGCCATTTTGTGGTAAGCCTACATATGACCTAAAATAATCCCACTTACTACTAGCTGTGCTTGCACTACATTTTGGGAAATAAGATTTAAAGGAAACATCTCCCCTTCTCTGTTTTTTCATTCCATTACACTATTCATTAAAGAGTTATTCAGAAAGTGCCTACTCTATGCCAGACCCTGTTGTACACTAACTAGTCATACTCAGCATAATCTGTCTCATCTTCCCCTAAGTAGCAGTTACTAAATAGGGGTTATAATAAAAACCAACTGCTGAGATTGTAACAATCCCATGAAGAGATGATGAGAGCTCATTGCAGATTCATCTTAATCCCTGACATCTTCTTATTAACATGTTATTATTTATGCAGAAAAAGTTTGCATAGCTGTGATGATGGATGACTACACGTGTGTCTTCCATACAGTAAAGTGTGGGAGAAAGTGGCTATAAGCACATAGCCATAAAGCACACAGACTATGAGTTTTTAGATCTTTGCAGAGAATAAAAAACAGGGCAAAGTTCATTTTATCAATCCAGATATACCTCATGAAATCAGTATAAAAGTCAATTTGAGGCCATCGATATTCAAAATAATTTCTTTTTAGAGTATGTATAGAGAAAAGGGAAAGCTTGTAAAAGAATTTTTATCTCTATTTTTTACTTCACAAATAAAATTTGTATCTTAATGCTTTTTAAAATTTAATAGATAACTCGTGTTCAGTTTTCATTTAATTTCCAAATATGGAAATTAATAGATTTCCATATTTCTGAAAGGCACAGTAAGAGCTACAAGTTAATGTCAAGCGCTAAAATGTAGATTAAAATACTTATATTTCTAATAAAATATTTAATTGCCTCAATGCCATCTAATTTCTTTTATTCAAACTTTTTTCAGGTTTGGGTCTGTTGCTTCTTGAAAGTTCATATTTTCAAATTTACTCTGTATCTCACTTTCTGCTGACTTTGCTATGCGGTTTCAGATAACGGCTATTATTCCTTGTAAGTTCTCATATAGTAATATAACCCATTAACCAAAAAAGTGCTCACACTGTACTTTTATTGTTTGGGCTAAATTTGATACGGACAAGTTAAGAAAATAAAAACAGTGTGGGTATTAGGCAGCAAGTAAAAAGAGTAAGTTAGAGCCATATCTGATCTGGAAGGCTGTACTATTAAATGCAAAAAGCAGGTTGCAGTATGATGTATTATTATAATAATAATATGCAGAAAAGATCCTTTCCCAAATGAGCATATGTTCTAAATATAAGCAGGAAGAAAGGGACAGAAGGATAAACATCAGGCTGTTAACTTTATTTAGCTTGGTTGTTGGTGACAGTAGGGAAGGCTGAGGTTAAAAATGGAGACAGACAGCCGGTATTAATATATTTATTTTTTCTTTATATTGTATTGTTTTACCTTTGAAATATCTTTTTTAAAGGGAATTTATAAATAAAACTTTAAAATGTAATCCTATTAATGGAGTTTTAAATTAATAAGCCTTTGTAGAGCAATTAAACCTGGGATTTTAGGGCAGAGATTCTGTACTGTTTCTGGTGGGTAAAACGGTATATACTTCATAAAATCAAATTGCATCTTAGACGAGTAACAAATAATCCACGAAGAACATGAATGTGAAAATGGCTTCTATCAGAAATACATCATACCTTAAGGCACTGTTATGAAAAAGAATAATAATTATTACCCTTTAAAAGTGGTTTCTGTTAACAAGAGACATAAAAAATTGAACTATGTAGCAAAATTCAAACTTTTTACTTGTATTAATTAATAAAAAATACTGCAGTGTCATGGAGGGAGACTAATATTTACCCAAAGAAGAACTTTCAATAAAGCTTTTAATACTCACGGATTTTATATTAAAAAAAAAGTCAAAGCAACAGAGATATAAATATCCTTTTATAAAACGACTTTTCTTCTTGAAAAACAGTCACTTACACGCTTTTATTTTGAAGTAAATTTAAAGATGGTGATCTAGAAACCACAAGTATTTCCGGGTAAGGCTGAAGACCCATTTGTTTATTATCTTTCAACTTTTGAACTATAACTTTGGCAAATTCTTCTCCTTGGATGTCAGTAGTGTCTAGTAATTGTCTGACTTTTGAGGTCCTTGTAGGCTTGGTACTAATAAGTTCATAGTCCTCTTTCATGATTAAGTCCCTGGACAGAAGGGCATCTAGCGACTGGTTAAGGCAGGCTTCTGTCATTTGGTTCACAATGTCTTCCCTTTTGCTCTGGATCCACTGCTGGGCGATACCAGGCTGCAGACGTTCTGAAAAAGAGCAAGGAATGAATATTTAAAAGGTGAGGACAGATACATAGCAATAAGTAAAATTCCATGAAAAATCAATAAAGCATAAAACCTAATTTTCCTATGATTGTGCCAATATGGAACACCAGTATTTGGGGGAATGCTATCATTTTTCAGGAAACACTCAGAGATTTGGGCTATCTCCCCCTCACTCCCCAGAAAAGGCACTGCCTTTTTATATGGTATAAATCTTGGGGCAAAAACCACTTTATGTCGTCATTCCCATCTTCTAGGATTTGTTCAGTTTTGTTTAATGTCCATTTTGTTTCAAATATAAAAGATACCTGCAAATTTGTTAATTAGTAATATGTTAATACCTCCTCTTAGTACTGCCTCCCTATTTAGATGTTCACAGAACACCATGTGGGCCATGTCATCGTTCCCATCTCCTGGGATTTGTTTTCCTACTTAAGAAGGTATGTATTTATCATATTGAGGAAATAAAGACAAATAAATCTCACTGTATGGTAAACCCACTGAACATAAATATGTAAGCTAAATGGCATCACTTACAAGGTGTTTCACAGTAAATATTTACCTGAGTTTCCTGCAGTTGAGAGTGGATTTATTGTTGCTGAAGAGCATGGAGTGGTCTTGTGATCACAGAATGCAGCCCTTTGAGACGCAGAAATGGTGCTGTCCCAACTGTGATTTCCAGGACAGCGATGCAGCATCATAAAAGAACAGTGTTGAGTTTTTCCTACAAAATACAACATCTTCATTAGAGGTGGAATATGCCTTAGAAGTTCCTATTGGCTAACATGTCAACATCTGAGCAGACAGAAGGTAGGCTCCAATGTCTTTAGTTTCCACTAATATTAAGGCTAGTTCAGAAACCTAATTCTGCAAGTAGATATTTCTTAAAACAAAAAAGGGTTTATATGGCATGCTTTCACTACAATTTCTGTCAGCAATTGTCTGTCCTATGTAAATTATAAATCATAGAATTTTACTTCTTCACAAAGTCCCATATTTTTCCTGTGTCTTCTTACTCCTTCTGAAGTTTAAGTATGTTCTCTAAATCTATATATGATGTCTGTCTTTCTACTTTCTCTTCTGGGAATCCCACTCAGCCTCAGGGACTTAATCATCCCCTCTATTCCCCAATCCACACAATTACATTTTCTGTCTTCATTGAACTTTTGCCTTATATATTCTTTCTTTTCCTTCCTCCCTTCCTTCCCTCCCTCCCTCCCTCCCTCCCTCCTTCCTTCCTTCCTTCCTTCCCTCCCTCCCTCCCTCCCCCCCCATTTTTTATTTTTTGGAGTTTGTCACCCAGGCTGGAGTGCAATGGTTGCGATCTCAGCTCACTGCAACCTCCACCTCCCAGGTTCAAGAGATTCTCCTGCCTCAGCCTCTCAAGTAGCTGGGATTACAGTTCCATGCTACCACAACTGGCTAATTTCTGTATTTTTAGTAGAGATGGGATTTCACCATGTTGGCCAGGCTGGTCTCGAACTCCTGACCTCAGGTGATCCGCCCGTCTCAGCCTACCAAAGTTCTAGGATTACAGTTGTGAGCCAACACACCCAGCTGTGAACCTTAATCTTATATTTTCAAAAGCCCTCTGGACATCAACCCTTTGTGTGCTCCTAGTACCTCAAATTAAAAACAAAAAACAAAAAACATTGAAAGTGTAATGTTTCTTAACTCTAAAACTTGTTTTAACTTCTTCTTCTTCTTTTTTTTTAATTGAGACAGAGTCTTGCTCTGTCACTCAGGCTGGAGTGCAGTGGCGCAATCTCAGCTCAGTGCAACCCCTGCCTCCTGGGTTCAAGCGTTTCTTGTGCCTCAGCCTCCCGAGGAGCTGGGATTACAGGTGTGCACCATCATACCCACTAATTTTTTTGTATTTTTAGTAGAGATGGGGTTTTTCCATGTTGGCCAGGCTGGTCTTGAACTCCTGGCCTCAAGTGATTTGCCCACCTTGGCCTTGCAAAATTCTGGGATTACATGTGTGAGCCACCGCACGCAACCTGTTTTAACTTCTATTTCTTTTAATGGCACCAACATTCTCCCAGTCCCTAGGCTTAACAATTTATTTGGCTTTACCGCTTTTTTCTCTCATCGCTCCTATAAGTGAAAAGTTACAAAGTCCTATCATCTAGTTGTCTATAACATCTCATATACCACTCCTCCTTTCTTTCACTCTATATCAGTTCTTAATAATCTCTCATGGGTACTACAGTAATAGTCTCCTAACTGATCTCGCCATCTCAAGTTTCCTTTTCCTTTCAAAATATCCTACACATTCCAGCCAGAATGAATCTTCCCAAAGTAAAAAATTTTATGTCACTGCCTTGCTCAAAAAATTGCAATAGTTGCTTCCTACTCAAGTAAAAAAGTCCAAATAGTTTAGCTGAAGGTTAGAATTACTGATGATATGACTCCAATCTACTTAGCTTTTATCTTCTTTCATTCATCTTCTTTACTAGCTAAACCAAATTACTCACTGTTCTCTGTATGTTCTTGCTTCTGTACCTGTATGTTGTTCCTTTTCCCTGGAATGCCTATCCTTTGTTATTACAGATCCAGCCTTCAGCCAGAAATAATTTCATGATGACAACATGATACAGTAGAGTGACACGATAATATTTATCAAAAGTCTGAGATGTGCCAGCTACTAGCTATGTGATCCAGAGTCCTTAAATCTGTAAAATGAGGACATTTCTCTCACAAAGTTGTTGTGCAAGTCCTTTGTACAGTGTTACTCTTCCCATACTACCATAGCTCTAGATCTATGTCTCTCTTATATCACTTTCCATCTCATATAATAGTTATTTAGAAACACTTCTTTTTCTTATAAGAGATTTTTTTTGTGGACATTTTCTGGCAGTGTCTAACATAATGCCTTTTTAAAAAAGTTTATTTTTTGACATAGAGTCTTACTCTGTCACCCAGGATGGAGTGCGGTGGTGCAATCTCGGCTCACTGCAACCTCCCTCCCGGGTTCAAGCAATCTTTCCGTGTCAGCCTCCGAAGTAGCTGAGACTATGGGTACCCACCACTATGATTGGCTAATTTTTGTATTTTTAGTAGAGATGGGATTTCACCATGTTAGCCAGGCTGGTCTCGAACTCCTGACCTCAGGTGATCTGCCCACCTTGGCCACCCAACATGCTGGGATTATAGGTGTGAACCACTGCGCCTGGCCAAACATAATGCCTTAAAACTTAAATGTATTTGTTGAATATCACACTACTATTTTTTCATATCTTTAGACTCTGTCACTTTAAAACATGAGTTATAAATGCAAATTAAAGTTCCATAGAAATCATGACTGCTTGCCAGAAATATGATCTTGAAAGAAAATGGAAGACTTGCAAGTAAATAATGATTGGAAAATTTACATACTAGATAAAAAATCATTGTCTTGAGGAACTGGCAGGGACCTTGAAGTTTCATGAGAACCACTATTTTCATGGAGCTGAGAGGATCCACATGATTCCTAAAGTAAATAGAAAATAAAGGGTTTAGGTTAATAAAAATTATAGAGCTTTAATTTCTAAATAGTTCTTGTTTGTGGCTTATCACAAATGAAGATAAAAACTACTAATTTTTTTTTTTTTTGAGGCAGGGTCTCACTCTGTTGCCCAGTCTGGAGTGCAGTGGCACAACCTAGGCTTACTGCAGCCCTGCCCTCCTGAACTCAGGTGAACCTCCCATCTTAGCCTCCTGAATAGCTGGGATTATAGGTACACACCACCACACCACGCTAAATTTTGTATTCTTTGTAGAAATGGGGTTTCGCTACGTTGCCCAGGTTGGTCTCAAACTCCTGCAATCAAGTGATCCACCAGCCTTGGCCACATAAAGTGCTGGGATTACAGGTGTGAGCCATTGTGCCCAGCCTACAAAAGTACTAAAAATTATACTTTACAAAATTAAAGAAACACATACATCTACAAAATAACCAACAAAGATAAACTTATTTTCTTAATTAACACAAATGGGGGAAATAGGGGAATAATGTGACATCAGAAAAATTATTTTTTTCAGTATTTTCTACATGATCTCAGAGGCTGTGGCCAGTAACTAGAATAGTGAATGAGAAATCTGGTATCTGCAAGTCTGGTCTCCTACAGATTTAGAAATGCCTGTTCTCAGCACCTCAGGTTCCTTCTACATGGAGGCACAGGAAGCCATGGAAAAAGTAATGGAGAACTCTACTCCTAGCTCTGTCATGGAATTACTAGCTAACTTTCAGTAAGGCATTTAAACTCTCTGGCTCTCAGGTTTTTGGCTGTATTATCCGCACTGTCTATTTAAAAATATGCACGAATGGGCTCAAGGATCAAATGAAATACTGTACATCAAGTGATTAAAAAAGTGATGTACTATTTTTAAGGTTAGTTTTGAAGATACTACAGGTTGAGTATCCCTTATCTGAAATGCTTGGAACCAGATGTGTTTGGAATTTTGGACTTTTTTCCAGATTTTGGAATATTTGTATATATATAATGAGATATCTTGGGGATGGGACTCAAGTCTAAATATAAAATTCATTTATGTTTCATATATACATTATACACACAGCCTGAAGGTAACTTAATTCAATATTTTAAAATAATTTTGTGCCTGAAACAAAGTTTTTTTTTTTTGAGATGGAGTCACCCAGGGTGGACTGCAGTGGTGCAATCTTGGCTCGCTCAAATAATTCTCCTGCCTCAACCCCCCGAGTAGCTGGGATTACAGGCATGGGCCACCATGCCCAGTATGTTTAGTAGAGATGGGGTTTTGCCATGTTGGCCAGCTGGTCTCGAACTCCTGACCTCAAGTGATCCACCCACCTTGGCCTCCCAAAGTTCTGGGATTACAGACTTGAGCCACTGTGCCCACCTGTGAAACAGTGTTTTGACTGCAACCCATCATATGAGGTCAGATGTTGCTATGGTTTGATATGGTTTATTTGTCCCCACTAAATCTCATGTTGAAATTTGATCCCCAATGTGGTGGTGTTCGGAGGTGAGGCTCAATGGGAGGTGTTTGGGTCATGGGGGAAGATCCTTCATGAATAGCTTGGTGCCATTCTATAAGTGGTGAATGGATTCCTGAGAGAGCAAGCTGTTAAAGACCCTGACTTCCTCATTTTCACTCTCCTGCATCCTGTCTCACCATGTGATTTCTCTGCATAGCTTGCTCCCCTTCTACTTTCCAACATGAGTGCAAACAGCCTAAGGCCCTCATCAGATTCAGCTGCCCAATCCTGAACTTTCTGGCTACCAGAATTGTGAGCCAAATAAACCTCTTTTCTTTATAAATTACCTAGTCTCAGGTATTTCGTTATAGCAACACTAAACAGACTAACACAAGTGTGGAATTTTCCACTTGCGGCATCATGTTGGTCTTCAAAGTTTTGGATTGTAGAGCACTTTGGATTTTTGGATTAGGGATGCTCAATCTATGTTACTTTTCTGATTCTGTAAAATGAACATACATATACATTCTTAAAAGAAATTACTAATTCAGACTAATAAAAGTCTGACTGAATGCTACTAAAGAAATCTTTCTTCTTGGGCAGCAATGTTAGCCTCTCATTAATTATGATAAGAGGTAAGAACAAGGTAGCATAAATATAGTGTTAAAACTGTAATCAATGATTTACCTACATACTACCCTGGGACGTCATTTATTGTATAAACCAATGACAGCGACAGAACTCAATGCCAAACAAAAAAGCAATAATTGTGATTTGATGGGATGAAAAATGAACTGAGAATCAGTAGAGCTGGGTTTCAAGTTGGAGATTGCCATGAGCTACCAAACAAATCCTAAAAGCTACCTGT